GCCCTGCCATATTTTGCCCGCCATTGTCTTCGGCTTTTATCTTTTATTTTCTGTTTGGCTTATTTTGGGAACATTTGCCAGCACAGAGATTGGCTTTGAATTTAAGTAGCAATTTCCTGTTTTGTTTCTGTCCCCGTTGTTCATGTCATGTAATGAATGTGGAAATATGTTGGCGGATCTGCGATGAGGGTTTTTGAAAGGATATTACCCTGCGCAGGTTTACCAGCGATAATTTGGGATTATACTGGCAGGCAATAAAATTGATTGTGTTAAATTGTAATTGCTGAAATTTGAATTTGTTTAGAATTGTGTTGATGTTAATAATTGAATGTGGTATGAGTTAGATTAAATATATTATATTAAAGGGTTTAAATAAAAATAAATTATTTATTACAATTTCCAACATTAAAGCTTAGTAATAAAAGTTCAGGGCCACACTGACCTATGTTAAAATTTATTATTAATTCATTATTTCTAAGACTAAAGTGGGTCTTATAATTTAGTTAATTGGTTACTTAGACACATCATAAATTTTGTTCTAAATAATATAAAATTTGGCACAGCTCCATTTAATAAAAGTTATAAAAAAAAATTATAAAGTACGTGCAAAATTTAATGCAAAGAAAAACTAATATTAAAATTGATTAATACAAAAGTGAATCCCAACTAATGCTCGTTAAAGGGTCACATTATAAACCGAATTGGAGTTTCCTGATCGATAGCACGTCTTTGTGCACCTACATTTTGTAGGAATTTTGCGCTAATGAACCCCCAAGGTGGTCAAATTGACTTAAACTACTTAATGAAGCGTTCCGAATGTAATCCCCGGCAATAACATACTCCAGCATAATTACACCACTAGTCAAATTTCAGGCAATCTCGGCTCGCAGCATAAGCCCGAGCAAGGTGTTGTCTTATTTCGCATAAGCCGCTTACCGCTTTCCCCTCCATATATGGCCAAATCCCCGGCCCCTTCACCAAAACGAGACCCCATTACGTAATGCATTCGAAGATATTTGCAGAGGTGGGCCATTGGGTGGTGGTGGTGGTGGTATGTCTTCACTTTCGAGGGAATACGACACATCCCCACACCCTCACCCTGGCATAATCAAATTCAATTGCTCATTGAAAACATTAAACTGTTTATTTTTGGATGGGCGCAATGGAAAGTGGGCGGGGCCAGGAGGCGGCTCAAGTGGCAAGGCACTTCATCATGCCGCCTAATCATTTGACCCACTTGAGAGTTGTGCAAATACTTTTTACATTAGAGTACCAGCCACCCACTTGCCATCGCCATACGACACACGAGCCGGTCTAATCCTTTCAAATGTCGGAGTCACAAATGGAGACACGGAGTGGGGTGGGGGGTTGAAGGAAAAGGAGACGGAGTCCTTGGCAGTTTTGCATGCATGCAGCGGGGGTAAGAGGAATTGGGGGTGGTGCACAAGTGAAGACAAGGAATTCGGAAAATCTCAGCTCAGTGTCAGGTTGCACGTTGAAAATTTGTCGTCATCGTGTCTCGCACACAAAAATGGCGTTAAGCATAGAATTTTGCCCAGGACAAGGTAAAGGGAATAAGGTGCGGTCCTGGCGAATGGGAATGGTACCGGGATGATGGGTGGTGGGTGGTTTTGAGGACTACGGACTACGGACTCCGGACTACGAAATGCGGAATACGGACTACAAGCCCGGGCCAAAGACAAACACATCATAGAAAAGGAGAGAAGACGATGCGCCTTGGCTGCGGCTCAAGGATAAGGCAAGAAATAATAAATTATATTTTCCCTGATTTGTGTTCGTTGCCTTGAAGCTTTCTCTTTCTCTCCCTCTCTCTCTCTGCCAGTTTTCTCTCCTTGGGAAATTATTTTGCAAAATTTACTTTTCCTCAAAAGCCGTAGAACAACAATAAAAATTATTAAACTACAAGCACTTTGAGGCTGTTGGTTTTTGAATGAATTTTCTGTTGTTGTTCAATAAGATGCAAAGAGAACTGGCACTCCAATCTTGGCTCACTGGAAAATGCACTGCGCAGAGAGAGAAAACACGAGGAAAACCCAGAAGAGAAAAGCGCTCTCTTAAACGATTTCAGGGTTGCCAGCTGTCGTTACAATTAAACATTGATGAATGTTGTCTGAGGTGTTTCCCAGAATTCGGGGTTCATCTACCCTTCATTTGAGTGGCTGCAATAGTTCCCATATTTCCACATGACTTGCCACTTTCGCAGTCTTATTAGTTGCGCTTTTAAGAACGTTTAAGAGGCGCTTCTGGGGTCAGAGTTCATTGATAGATAAACATAAACTCTTGAACAAACACAAATGTGAACTCAACGCGTGGCAAATTTAATTTCGAATCCAAGTTTTTAGCTCCGTCATTGGGGTTTGGCATTTTCGCTGCAAGTCACTGTCAAGGCGAAACGCAAACAAAATTGCATTTTCTGCGGAAAAATTTGTACTGGTTATGGAAGCTTTCTTTTATACACGGTATGCTTAGAGTTTGGGGTATAATAGATTCGTTACAAGCTACTATACTAAAAACAATTTTTTTAGAAGCAAAGATTAAAGGAATTTTGAGATATTAGTTGCTAATTTGAATATTATAAAAAAAAGAGTTTCCCCCATTACTATGCAATAGGGTTGCAAGGACGAGTATCGGGTATTTTTTTGGTCGGGACAAGCTTACTACTTTTTTATATTTTTCTCCTGTTCCTTGGGTCTCTGGACTTGGGATTATCGCAGAGAAAAAATCGCATTTAAGTGGCAACAATTGTCAGGCAGATGCAGCAGCATCAACCCCCGGAGTTGAACCCGAAATCTGAACCCGAAACTCCTCGAACCCCTCGCTCCCTCTCGTTCGCTCCTGTGGCAACCGCAACAATAGCAATACCGGCATTATGACTATGTGTGACTGCAATGGCAATGACATTTCGCCCCCCCCTCTCTATCGCTCCCATTGTCTCCTGCTTGGCTCATTTTTCACATATTTTTCGCAAAGTTGAAACTATTTTTGGGACGCACTGGGGTTGCAGTTTTTGTTATTGTTGTCGTCCGGCGACAGGCACTCGAATCCTTTAATTGGTTTTATTTTTAATGATGTTTAGGCGAGACGCGTACTATGTATGTATATACAAGTAGCGGTGGAGATTCTATCCCTCGACTGCCCACGCTCGCCTGCAATTATTTATGTAAATTCTGGGCGTTGCATTGACGTGATTTATGTCGCCTTTCTTTTATCGCCACTTTCCAGAGGAGTTTGCTGTAAAAACAATTAAGCAGCTAATTGACTGGAGGAGTATCGTATATACGCAGATATATAAACAAAAACAGGGAATGAAAAATGAAAATAGGGTCTAGCAAGCCAATTGATTTCGGTAGCTTACTTTGTATCGCATTCTTTAAGTGTTTTCAAATGAAGTGCCGGAAGCGGGTGTCAAATGAATATTTTAAATTGATATTCATTTTGGGCATGTCTGTTTAAAGTACCTCTGAAAGATCTATTGATAAATAAACTATACAAAATATATACAGGCAATATTTCAGCGCTTCAGACTTTAAAATGTTCGTTATTTAAAATCTAAAAACTAAATAAGAATAAAATACTAATAAAAACTTATGAAGTAAGTTTGTTTTTAGTTTTTTTTCATGTTTAGATATAATAGAAAATACCATAACATTTTTCAAACATACATATGTGCTTATCTAAAAAGTAGAATTGGCTTAAATACAGAATTAAATAATGGCTGTCGTTTATCAACATCTCTTATATTATCCATTAAACGTGAAATATTCAATTAATTATGAAGTATTGTGAATTCTTACAATCTATTTTCCAATGATATATTCATAATGCTTGCTTTAATAAAAATATGTTTTTAGCTTTTGAGTGTGATTTATTCTAATTGATTTATGGCAAATGTTAATGTTGAAGCACAAGGCATTAAAAATGGATTAATCAAAAATTTTGACAGTAATGGACTCTTAAATAAATTCTTAATTTTTTTGACATTTTTTAATATTAATATTTGTGACCTGTTTTACTTTAACGGGACAATATACAGTAAATTATACTATGCATTTGACGTGTTTTTATGATAATATTTTTTATATCTGATATATTTTAATAATACATGATTTGTTGAGTGCAGTAGAAGCACTCTCATTTGACCTTGCATATTATTATCCTTTTTTTCTTTTTTGATTTACTCGAACTATGAATGATTTTTTCCGCCTCTGACCATTTAAAATCCTGGTGGTATCACAAATGTATTAATGATGTTAAATTGGCGTTCGTTCTTTTGTACTTCCCATAATATGCTAAATCATTGTCCTTTTTTCTATTTTTTTAAATTTGATATATTTTAATAATACATGATTTGTTGAGTGCAGTAGAAGCACTCTCATTTGACCTTGCATTTTATTCTATTTTTTCTCTTTCTCTATGAATGATTTTAGCCGATTTCAGCCTCTGAACAGATATTATCCTGCAGCTATTACAAATGTATTAATGATGTTAAATTGGCCCTGTCCTTCGGCAGCTCCCATAATGTCCTTTGTCGTGCGCAGAACCCTTTCACCTGCACTCAGCAGGCACAACAGGTGTGTCCTTGTCGTAGGGCGTAAGGACAGGAGTCGCTCGGCCCGTCAAGCCGTCAGTCCATCAGTCCGTCCGATTGTCACTCTGTCATGCCGCCACTCTGAACGCTTCAGTGCACATTAACACCCAAGTCAAGACATAATTTATAAGCAAATGCAGTTAAGTTTCCTCTGGAGGATCTCGGTTGCCGGCAATTGCGATGAAGTATCTCATCTCATCCCCGAGAGTCTGGCGAATGCCGCCAAACACATGGAGAGCAAGTTCCTGAGAGGAGAGGAAAATAGAGAGCGCAACTCTCTCGCTGGAAATCGTATAACACTCGGGTGTAAGTTGTATAACACACGATGCCGATAGGCATATCTCCCCCATATATCCTCGCTGAGCGCTGCCGTTAGTTTGCGAGCGTTGGTCGTCAGCATCGGACGTGCGTCGTGGCGAATAAATATTTACCATAGTTGTGGAAAATCGCAGCGGAGCGTGCGGCGTGCGTAAAAGTCTCCGGAATTTGCACTTAACATTTTCGCAAAATAACTAAATAAAATCAATGCAGCGAATGTACAAATGACAGTCGGCGAGGCGACTCATTAAAACAATTTACCCAGACACGATAAATACGGACCATAAATACGAGGACACAACAGGGTAAACATAATTAATGACGCTGCTACTGTTGTTGTGAAGTGCGTTCGTGTGTTAAATAAAAATCCAAATTAATTGCATTTCAAGCATTTTTAAATACGCATCGAGTGCCGCTGTCAATCGGCTGGATTTTCTGCGGTTTCACTGGGGCGAACATAAACAACAGAGCTCTGGATCCGAATCAGCATCCGAATCTGAATCAGAACTCAAGTGGAGTGTTGTGAGTGTGGCCAGCGTTTCGGTGGGTCGCTTGTTGTGCGCGCAATTTCCGGTTTCCGCTTCCGCCGGAGCAACGTCCGTGTCCGGCCGACTAGGCGCAACATTAATTTGCCAGCAGCAAAAGAGTAATAACAGCTCACACAACAACAACAACAAAAAAATTCCGAGTTTTTTTGGCCAAAAGATAAACAAGACAGAAAAGTGCTCCATTTCCGTCTAAAGAGTAGACTTAAGCTCTTAGAATAATATTGAAAAATATTTAAATATACGAAAACTCAAGTCGGTCTAAAAACGTTTCTACAAAGTGATACCTACTTAACAGGTTAGTTTGGCTTACAATTAGTTTATTTTAAAAAAGAACACTGGTGGATATATTTTACGCTAAAAAGTTGTACCTACTTAGCTGGTTTGTTTCGCTTATGAATCCTGAAATCCCTGAGTGGATTATTTATATCGTGAAATACTTTCGGCATTTAATTTCATGCCCAGCGCCCAAAAGTATGCAGCAAGCATATTTCAGGCGTGGCAGGTTGTTGGCACAAGGAGCGAAAAGAGGCAAAAACAAAACGAAAACGAAACGAAATGAAATGACAAAAGCTGGGTGCCAGTGTATGTGTGTGTGTGTGTGTGTGCAAGACAAGCAATAAAATGGCGAGCGAGCGCCAAGTTTTTGCGCGCCAAAAAGCGTGCAACAACGCGAGTGGCAGCTATGTTTATGTGCCACATAAAACTAGCGCGGCCATGTCGCATTGTTGGCTGAACGGACCAGAAGAAAAGACGGTCACACAGAGAGAAATTGATTAGGGAAAGTTAAATATTTTATACAATTCTAGCCAGCTAAGAAAAAATCGGATTTATTAAGTTATCTCATTAGCATATTCTAAAATATCCTTGAATTTTAAAACTAAACATAATGAATTTCCATGCACTTCAGTTTAATCTTTAATTTAGGTAAATTATTTAATAATTAAATTAAAAACACAACAAAGGTGACCACTTTTTCAGCACATTGCAAGTTGGCTTTGTATTTTAATCGAAAATAATTAAAATTGCTGAAGTTTGTTGGCCAATTTGTTCATTTATACGAGGAGTGAAAGGATTTTTTCTGTGCAGAACATAGCGAACCGGTAAACCAGGGTTCCTGGCCGTTTTATTTTATGAACTTTTATTATTATATTTGCCTTCACTTCTGCTGTGCGTTTTGCAGCACTCTCCACTCCTGGCTTTAGTAAACAATAATCATAATAATCGTAATCACAGGGCAGAAAGCAGAAAGCGGAGAACGGAGAGCAAGAAAGCAGGGCAAACAATGAGCCGGAGTCGCTGGCCTTTTTGTGCTGCCTGTTTTTAGGCGCTGTTTTCGCACGTGTTTGTTCGCACCTAGTCAGGCACTAACACTAGCACGATTGCATTCAAAAACACACTCACACACACACAGGCACACACGCTCACATTCTCAAAGAGGTCCTATTGTTGTCGTCCTGTCGCACTAAATTGCGCACAATTGAAAGCATACTTTCAGGCGCCCGAGCATTTAGTGTGCAGTTTTGAATGCCCTGCACTCCCGACTCATCTCTCGTCCTTATTTATCGCACTTCTCCTCTTAGAAATCCCCAAAGGACGTCTGCCGTTGCCCTTTTCACATTCTTTTTGGCGCAGTGTGTAAAAGGTTTTTATTATTAAATATGGCAAGGGGCATTAAATATTTCTTGGCTGTCAAGGTTTCAGCTGCAAGATTACCTAGGGGAATGCTTGTTTTTCGGTTTTATTTTTACATCCGCTTTGCTCGAGAAATCCTTAGCGCTTTTGTGTTCTTTAACTTGCGTCGAAATTAAATTAAACCCAGATAATTGGGATGTTTGAAAAGTTTGGCTTGCCAAAAATTCCTCAGCTCGGCTAATTGACCTCAATTCAGCTAATCGATAATGCTACAGCTGCATTCCGGCCCCTTTGTCTTTGGCCATAATTTCATTAGGTTTGGGGGCCAGTCTACCGAAAATGTTTTCTCTCTACGCAGGCTAAATTAGATTAATGAAAAATAGGATTAGGCCCAGTCGAAGGAGGAGGGCAGTAACCAAGCAGCTTAAATCAATTGTGCCGCCTGCGTATTTTCGAATTTCTGCCTTCATTTAAAGACGTTCGCTTTTGGCTTTTGGGGCCATGGGGCAAACCGCAAAAAGTCGGAAAGTCTTGAGCCTGAGTCCTCATTATGCGTCGCTTAACTGCCATTTGCCAGAAATGGCCTCCAAGAAAAGAAAATTTCCATGCTGAACGGAAAAGTCGACTGGACGTGACACACAACAAATTCACAGCTATTTTGCCAGCCACCCTCCGTATTTTATATTTTCAAATTAATTCCAGGGAATTTTCTTTACTCCGGGCGGCTTTGGTTCCGTTTTGACATAATCTATTATAAGAGCTCATAATAATTTTTATAAAGTTTTTTTTTTCCTCTTTTGTTTCTTTGGGGGAATGGTTTTAATTGTGGGCGTGTCGGGACTTAATGAGATCGCTTGAAAACCTAAAACAATTTGAATGTTCGCCGGGGGAGTGATTTCAAAGTGGAAAAATATTAATTAACATTTGCATGTGGCAAATAGGACTTATGGTCTTAAGGAACGAGATCTTTTGCAAATGTGTGCCAATACGTCAGCCTTAATAAATCAACGGGCATTTGCAAAAAGTTACCTTCCAAATCTCAGTGGTTTGTGGTGGTCCCAAACACATACGAACTCATAACTTGTGACAGTGAGTTATTATAGCATTTATATTCGTGTGTATGGTTCGTCATAAATTGTATAAAACAAGAACACAGAAAGCTCTGAGTTTATGTGGGTTAAAATCTAAGGCTAGGGTCAAAGATTGCGGAAGAAGACAACACTTTTAAATTTTAACAAAAGGCAAACACTCACGTATGGCATAACACAAACAGATTAAATACGCTTACACATATTGTATGTGACATATTTGTATCAGCGATTAAGGATTATATGATACGAAAGTGTGAAACTGAAATTGTGTATGCTAGGAAGTTAAAGTTTTAAGCAAAATTAATAAAGTTTTATTACCAACTTTGTTGTTTATTTAGCCGTAACTAATGACTTTGAAACCTTATTTTTTGTTAGTTATAAAATGAGTAATAATTTTCATTATTTAGCGGTAAATATAGTTATAAATTACATTCATAAAAGTATTTAGTGTGTGAAATTCTTTTGGAAAAACAGGATAGGTCTTGATAATTAAGACCTTATTTGCTTGAAAAATTGCTTTAACTCTTCCTATTTTCAAAAATTTGTCATCCAAAAACAGCAAAGCAGATCAAAAGAAAAATGTTGTTCATTTAGGATTATCCATTGAAGGCTTTTTGAAAAATCGGCATCTGAACAAAAGCAAGTCCGACCAAAAGCAAAATGTTTGTTTTCGTAAGATAATCAGTAAAAACAAAAGCAGGATTTAGTCTTTGAATTGTATCAAAATGAAATAGCAGGTTTTTCCAAATACTTTTCGAGGCAATAGTAGAAAATTTAAAAAGCAAATGTTTTATTTTCGTCGGTTTAAGCAATTTATAAAAGCATATGTACTTCTTAGACTAGGATTGAATATTTGTTTATAAAACGTTGAAAATTTAAACACACTCAGCAATCAGCGGTGCATAAAGTTTCAATAGCCCCATCAGGATGAACATCCTGAAACATCTATAAATCCTTTCATGTTTGAAGTTATTCTGCATACCATTTCCATACATTTCATATATTTATCATCGTTTCACTCTAAAAATTAACCCATACTGCATATGCATGCATATTCCCATTTTTCACCCACCCTTTAGTAACACGTCCATAAATTTTGGCAATTTTTCAGAATTATTTTTTATACATATTTCTAAATATTTGCTTTGCAATATTTTTCAATATTTTGCTAACGAAAACTAAGTCTATTGTTGGCATATTTTGGCAATTTCAGTTGTTCAACGGCAGTTTAGCATCCCTACCCATGGCCTTAATGCTTTTAGCTAAAATTTTGGCCAGCTTGGGTGCCAAAAAATGCAAATTTAAAATGCGTTGGCATGTCAAAAATCCACAGAGGGTGCAATTGCAGATGGGAGGGGCAAAAAGGTGGCGAAGAAAATCGATAAACGAGACATGTGAGCGTGAGTATCTGTGTGTGTGAGTGTGTGTGTGTGGGGTAAGCTTTTAGTATCTTTTGCAATGCAACTGCCATACACGAAATTTGGCAAACTCACAATGGGGAGAAGTGGGGTATGAAAAGAGATAGAGTCGAAGAGAGTAAAGAGCGATAAAAGAGAGCCAGCAACAAATAGCTTAATAGGAAATAGCATAAAAGCATACCCCCCACCCTGCACCACCCACTGCCACCCATCGCCCTTTTTACCCCAAGGAAAAAAGCAGAGAAAAGAAAATCTTTGCACGTATCGCACTCGAAAAATCAGTAAACGCATTGGCATCTTCTCCCAAAGACATTGTTATTGTTGTTGCTGTCTGTAAGGGTTGACTCACGGGTTAAGGGAGGGGGTGGAGGGGTGGTTAATGCTGAGGAAGCTTTAGCTTATCGGATAGCGTTCGTTGTCGTTGTCGTCTCCGAATATTTGGCATTAGTCAAATGCAAATTTTTATAGCTGCCTGTCTGTTTACTTGAAGCGCCGATAAGCTCGCGCATAAGCATATATACCAAATGGATTCGGGATGTGCCGAGATGGTGGCGAATGGGTTCCTATGGCAAGCTAACTGACTCTGTTCCCCGAAAAGAAGTCACTAAAAATTCTTTGAATTTGCAATAACATCAGGCTGGCAAATGTGTCGGGATGAAGCTGACAGTTGGCAAAGAGTTTAATCCTCAGCAAACACAATTTTTCTTGAGCGACTTATGAAATGAAAAATGTCAACAAACTATATGTTTTAATAATTTCAATTTACGAACTCTGCTTGGTTTTTTTGTTATTACGTAATAGTTTTATAGTTTTTGATTTAAATATTTTACATTATTTTCCAACTTTTCAAACTATTTAATGTTAGTACACACATTAGCATTTAGAATGATTTTATAATTATATTCAAATAAATAGCACAAACCATTCTTACCATTCGCTGATCAATTTTGCGGGGATATATTATAGAGCAAGAGTTGCTTGTTGAACTAAAAACGATTCAAAAGGTAATTCTTTCAACGATTAAACTGGATTTAAAATTAACCAAAAAGCAAGGTATTATAAAAGGCTCAAAAAAGTAATATAATTAGTTTTCAAAGGGTGTTTGACTAAGCTGCTGCTGGTGAAAAAATTCGGCAAGGATTATGGTTATTATC